GGAAAACAGCCAAGTCCTGGGAAAGCAAGCAGATGCTGGAGGAGCCCACCCCCCAGGCCTTGTGCTGAACATCACTTCCCAGCCTAGGACACGAAAGCAGAAATGCACCTAGTGAATACATTTAAATACATTCCCTTATGTAGAACATCAGCAATCATTGTAAAAATGGGCATTGATAGGACTGGGCTGAGCTTTAATTCAGAGATTCAATTTGAAGCCAATTCGATCAAATCTCTGAATTGAGTCAAATTGTTAAATCGAATCAAATCACATGCACAAAAGCCTCTTTTTTCCCCCCTGCATCGAGTTGGAAAATCGAATCAAAACAATTTTCTGGATCAATTTGAAGTGTCAAAATAGATCAAATCAGTGATTTGATTTGAAGCAGGTCACAGCCAATCTGCGTCCCGCTCATAAATGATAGCTGAGCTTTAGGATCACAGCGGCCCTTCCAAGAAGGCCAGAGACCATCGTGACAAGCTTCGGGGTTAGCCCAGCTCCACGGGCTCTTGAACGACGATGCCCGCAAGTTTCAAATCTCCTTTTATTCTTGAGGCTGAGGGCAGAGCCTGGCCCAGCATCATCAATAAAATTATATTTAAAGAAGAGAGGCAGGAGGGATGGGCAGCAAATGTCACACCGGTAGAGTTTTCCACCCTAAGGGCAAGCAGGAAGGGCTTTAATATAGTGCTCGGAAAAGGCTCTTTGAAATGTTTCCGTTCAATGACCACCGGTGAAACTGAGCAAGGGAAATCCCTGAAACAGAAGGGGGGGGGGCGTTACATAAAAGGGGCCCCTAACCGATGGACTCTGACCCTCCCAGAGAGTTCTTACATCATGCCCATCTGGAAGATCCAGAAAATACGAGCCCACTCTGGAGAATTTGGCCTTGCAGCACAGTCTGCCAGGGCCAAAAGCTGCTCTTCCTGCCCAGAAAAAGTTGGGCACAGAAGTTGCCAGGTGTTTTGTACTCCAGCCGGAGAGTCCTTCCGGTCACGAAGGACTCGGGACAAGAACGCCTGAGCAGCAGCGGTCCCAGAGGAAGATCTGCTGCCTCCAAGGGAGCGGGCTGGCCGGCCAGCGGTCTTCTCTGACTCAGAGCTGCCATCTCGCTGCGGCTGCTTGCAAGGAGCCCCTCCAGAGAAAAAGGCTGAGGTTTGGTTAACGGGGGCCCCCAGAGACCTCAGCAGTTTCAAGGAGGGCTGATGCCCCATGCACAAAAGGGCCTGATCCAACCTGTGTGGTGGAGTCAGTGTAATGCTGGCAATCAGGGAGGAAGCTGGGCCTGTGGTGGAGCATGGATACCTAGCAGAATGACACCTCCACCACTCGATTTGCTAATGAACAGCCATGAATATGAATGAGGGGTGATTTTTACTGCTGAGGAAAGGGCAGCCAGCAAACCATAAAGCTGGCTTTAAGCTTGCTGTTATTAAAGCTCTTTTATTGGTAATGGCTCCTGTGTGAGGAGGACCCAGCCTCTGCAAGTCTGGAGACCCCACGTCTTCTTCCTCCTGCCAGAGGTAGACAAAGCACCCACCCGTCCTTTGGTTCCGGGGCACCAGCAGGCTGCCAAGAGTGCCTGGAGCAAGGGCTGAGGGGGCTGTGCTTGCTTGTCATATGGGAAGTCTGAGTTACCCGTAACGGAGGCATAACTTTCAAAACATTATGTGGCCATCATTCTGGATGGCCACACATAAATACATTTCTACTGATGTGGGAGGGGGCATTAGAATCCAGTAAGCCTCATCTTTTCTTTTCCTTAAGAAAACCAGTGGCACCAGACAACTGTCACATGTAGGGGAACTTCCTTGCTGGCGTGTAGACATTCTGGAGCTGCTGAGCACCCAGCTGTTTAAAACAGTGGTCTGAATGACCCCGCTTCTGGGACGTGTCCTTCTTGCTCAGATGGCCTGTGCTGGCTATCTGGGACACTCCGTGGCTTTAGGCAGGCACTTTTGGGGCCCCTTCTGAAAGTGCTGAACCTAGGACCTCCTCTCCACAAAGCACGCCCTCTACCTGCTGACCAGGGAGCCTTTGGCAAGAGAGGAGAATCTGGGAACGTCCCAAGTTGCCCAGGATTTGCTGCTGCCTCTCAGCAACGGCAGAAAGATGCAGAGCATGTTAACAGATATTAACCTCCAAATGAAAATACTCCAGTTGGATTCCACCTTCAGAATCAGGCCCCGCTCCTTTCTCAGCCCGACTTGTCCACTCAGCAGAGTGTCCTGCAAAGCCTTTTCAAATTGAAATGGTGATTGGCTGGCCAAGGTTAATAGGAGTGTTGGAAAATAAATAGGTTATTGATTGATAATAACAATACGCTGACTGCAGCCTTACCTTCCTGGCCTTCTCTGACCCAATATTACAGAAAATCCAGTTAGCATCTCATTATGACCAGCTGGCTTGGGGGAGGGGGGATTAATGAGCAGATGATGAGGGGCAAGGAGGAGGAGGAGGAGGAGGAGGAGACGGGCGTAGGCTGGGGGTTTGGGGCTGGGCTCACCCCGGTTATGGTGGCTGAACTGCAGCTCAGGCAACCCTCTCCAATCTGGCCAAAGGATGAGCTTGGGGAGTGTGCCCCTGGGCACTGCATTGGCATGTATTCGTGGCCTCCGTTTCTTAGGCTTCCTTAAACGGGTGCTTTAGGCAGCCAGCAGTGGCAGTCCCCCTCGCCTCTCCCCAGCCAGACGTTTCGGATCCGGGTCCCCTCCCTCAGTGGCTGCAGGCCGGTTGGCATTCAGCGAGCTCTGCTCTAGGCAGACATAGGCGCCTGGCAGGGGAGAGGGGAATCCGGAGGTCCAGCAGGAGCTGCCTCCCCTTCCTCAACTCCAGCCGCAACCGGTCTAGCAGCCAGAATCCTCCGAAAATGATGCCCCAAGAAACAGAGGGAAGGTGGCATAAGCGTCCTTGGAGCAGGGGAAGATGCGCCCCCAAACTCTCCCTGCCACCCACCTGCCCGGATAGGTAGGTGAAGCCCTGCTGCGCCAGAAGAGGCTGTCTGGCAAGGGCGCTGCCTCCCAGCCTAGCCTAGCCTAGCCTACCTCCCAAGAGCGCTGTTCCCATAAGACGGGATCGTCCCTCCCTTGGGACCCCCCTGCCAAGTAGGTATGAGGCGGGCGACCCATTGGCAGGAAGGGGAAGCAGGAAAAAAATCGGGCGGGGGTTCCGTGTCCAGTTCTTGGGGGGCCTAAATGAACAAGGCAAAACGAAGCGGGCAACGCGTTCGCTGGGCAGAGACCGTCCTGCCCACGCCCTTGGGCCAAGGGCCTCCCGCAGCAGCCCAGCAGGGAGGAGGACGCGGGTCCTCAGATGGGCCGGGCGAGGGCGAGCGGTTTCCTTGCTTAAGTCGCCACCTGCTGCCCGAAGGGCCTGCGCGGCGCCTCTCTCCTTCCTGCAACCCGCCCCCTCCTTGCTCGGCGCTCTGAGAAAGGGC